CCTCTCCGTTTACATACTTTGCCCGCCCGCTCCTCGCACTTTCTCCTTCTTCCATTATTCTTCACAGTCGAAGTCGTTGCTAGACGTACCCCTCGAACTGTACCAATCAGCCTTCTGTTGTTGTGCTGACATCGCTATCTGTCAGCTACCCCACCCTCGCCCACACACACACTTCGCCACACCGCACGTTGCCTACCATCTGCTGCTTGGACCTCGCCATGCCTGCCGAACGTCGAACTTTCACCTCGGCCAGACCGGTCAAGACCGAGCGCACTCATGAAGAGAACCAGGAGCGGTTAGTCGTCTCTACTTAATCCGCATGCCACCAATTCTGATGCCCAACAGTGCCTACATTGCTGCCTCGCGCCGCAGTGACCGCAGCCTGGAGGCTCGCATTGAGTCTGCTCGTAGAGCTTCTGAGATTCACAAGAAGCGCACGGGTCGTGCTCTTCGCGTGACCGAGCAGGATGTTATCAATGAAGAGATGTACGAAGAGGAGGATGATGATCTGCCTACCCAGTACCAGCGCCTCAACGCTCATCTTCAGACCACTTCGGTCATGTTCAACAAGAAGCTGCATGACTACATTGCGACCCAGCACGGCGTCAGAAACATGTTCATGTCCCAGTACCAGAACCAAGGCGCGGCGTTCCAGCAGTATGGTCCGCAGTATCCGGCCAATGGCGCCCAATTTGCACAGCCGAACAACTGGCTGAACCCTTCAATGCTCCCGCCTCAGCAGTTCGCCCCCGCATCTCCACAGGGTTTCCAGCAAGCGCAATCCTTCAGCCCGACCACCGCTCAGCCGCAACAGGGATACAGACAGTCACCGTACCAGATTCCTCAACGCACTCACTCTCACCAGCGCGCTCTTTCTATTCAACTGCCCCAGGGCGCATCGCACTTTGACCCATCAGCTCAGCCGGCGAGTGCAGGTCTCACGACGCCACAGACTGAGCTCAACCGAAGACTGTCTTTACCGCCGCAAGCTTTTCAACAACAAAACCAGACAGTAGAGCGACAAACGCGTCCTTCTTTATCGCGTTCGCCTACTACCCATTCGCTCCAGCACCGTCAGTCATCTTCGCCACAGAGCGCTTCGCCCAACGCAGCTTCCGTGCATGAGGCTGCACCTGTGCAGAGTGATCCTAATTCGCCTTCCTCCTATTCTTACAGCCCTACGAACTACCCATACAGCTCGCAGGCGCTCAACACCAACCCTCTGACTCTGTCTATGCCACCCGAGTCACAGCAGTTCCTTGGATCTGTCCTGGATCAGAACGACCCACGCACCGCAATCTTCATGGCAGGCAGCGACAACCTTCCTCAGCCTTTTGCTCCGACCTACACCTACAACCCCAACAAGGTTGGTCGGACAGCTAACGCCAGTAGCATGTCTGAGCATGCTAGTGGCTCGGCTCAAACATTGTCATCTGGTCTAAACTTGAAGGCTGAGCCTGTTTCTGGTACCACGTCGCCGTCGGTACCCAGTGCCATTTCTGATGGCTTTTATTCCAACGATTCGTTTTTGACGCCTGGTACTGGTGAATACAGTGCCTTTTTCGATTTCCCGGGCGGCGACTTCCAACAGTCGTTTGACGACCAATCCGCCAATGACCACGACAATGGTAATAGCCTCGTCAACTGGGATTAGGTATCATGTTCGCCATTTTTATCTTGTTTTTTCGTCTTTGTGGACTAAGGTCCTTTGTACGATCCTTTTAGGATCCTGTCCGTCTAAGCTCTTCGATACTTTGCTACGTCTTTGGGTAACGGTTCTGGTTTCACACGCACATGATACCTTTTGTACAGTGTCGTTTACGAGGTTACGACTGAAGGCGTTGCAAGGAGTCTTCCTGTCGGTGAAGAGAAGACCCACATATAGGATGCAACCATCCTTCTTCAGGCGCTTGAGGGTGCTGTTGCCCCTATAGCGATCTCCTCTCCCAGTAATCCTTCGATTTGAAGTGTTCCTGTATAATATATAATTGCAACGGTCATTTTCCGTATGCAATAGTCCTTCCGATCTCCGGTAACCTCATGTGCAAGTGAAGCTCATCACAACATCTATACTGCCACTCGCGGCCCAAACTGCTATCACGAGAGCGCAATGGTGTCCCCGCTCGCGGACCGTTGCTTCATCAGGTCTTCAGGGTTCAGTACCCCGAACTGGGGATGATACACAACCAGGGAGGGTTAGGCCTTCCAACTTGTACTTCCTACTCGGTAGTAAGCGGCTGGGCCCGTCGTAGGGAGCGTAGCATGCACTAGTTCCGGAGTGCGGTTGCGCGCACCTCTTCTGCTACGTAACAAATCACCTTCTTGTGAGCGATGAGTTCACATGGGTGCGTCTAGACTTATCAAACTCATCCGTGGATGATGGAGGTGGCCCTGCTGGGCTGGCTCACGTGATGCTACTGCAGCCGCGCTAGCGTCGTGAACAGGACCAATGGACACTGCCGTCCTCCGATCTTCCAACAGATCCATACCGCTTCCACGACATACCCAGCCTAGCTGGTCTGCATCGCTGTCTATGTTCGGTTCCTGTTTCCTCTGCATCGAGATCCCTGTGCCGTCGGGACGTTCTAACGGCTTTCTGCATCAGTCGCGTCGTCCTACTGCGGTTGCTTGTGAAACGCAGCACCCTGAGCGTGAGTCTGGTTCCTGCATCTGTGCATCTAGCTAGTGATGGAACCCTCCATCTGCCGGCCATACGAATAACATAGTCCGATCCCTGATGTCGAGTCATCCATGGTCCATTTGTCGCGTTCCCCGAGCAGGCTCTTGTATTGTACCCTGGTACATGCGGCTGGCTGAACCCGAAAACGTCAGGGACTGTGCCCAGACTCGAGGCCGGTATCGCAGTCCGATCGCGTCCGACATTTTGGAGAGACAGTAGGATTCGCATATGGCTCATGCATCGAGCCAGATGAAGATGGCTAAAGACCGATTGTTCAGACATATTGCCGACCGCACATAGCCCCGGAGGTCATGCATCCCTCCAAAAGTGCACGCAACCTTATGATTGGCAAACGACATCATAAGGAATTACTAAGGCGGTGTGGCACTGCAAACCTTTGTATTACCCACTGGATGCCCGGGAATACGAGGTCGGTCGAGCGTTGCGACACTGGGTACGCTTCTTCAGTGTCGAGTTACTCCAGTCCATTGGCTCGCAACAACACCATGCCTAGAGAAGTGGCTGTATCAATTCATTCAGTCTCAACAACAGTAGGCTGGGTCACTTCGTCATTCGCGAATTTCTTCCTTCGCCTTCTGTACTACTAGCGGTGATCGCTGCGCTGCAGTGTCATGTTGCTATCCGTCCGTTGTCTACCCTCCCGTGATTCCTTTCTTGGCTTAAATTCAAGATATCAGCGGATTGTTGCACTGGCAATCTAAATGCATACACCAGCTACCTCGTATGCGGGCTGCTATACATCGACCGAAGCCATTATGGCCTATCGAAGCGGGGCATGTCTTTCTCAGAGGCAGCCGCTACTCCCAACTTCCGCAGTCAAGAGATGGAGCCCAACATTTTCAGCAGCAAGCGCATAGAAGTCATGGGTTTCAAACTAGCCGTCTTCATCGTAGACATTATCATGGTTCGAAGAATCGGATACCATCGATACAAGCATGATGCCGTGCTGCATGCCCTTAGTGGAGCTAACCGAGTATTTCACTGCGGCCGTACGGCTGTAGCAGTATCGTGTCATGATATTGTCGCGGTGGAACGTAGATCATCACATATAAGGTCATTGTCTCCAGTCAATCGAGGCTCAAGCCGTCCAGCTGTAGTTGTCTGTTCGACACATCCTCTCGTTATTTCCCCTCAACACTCGTTTCTTCCTTCACCTCTTGGAACAGGTGTGTCTTGCGACTCACATAACAACCATGAAGCTCAGTACCTTCACTCCGTTCGCGGCTTTCCTGACGCTCACTGCAGCTGAGCGGGTGCCATGTAAGTCTCTCCATAGGATCTGCTGTTGGATCTACACACTCCCTCGTCAACGTACCAAGCATCACGCTCTCTAAAATATAGGCACGTGAGTTAATATTCTGGAATAGTAAACTTCCCACAGCATGTACGGCCTCGGCAGTATGCACCGCCACCGCCATACTCTCCTCCTTACCCAAGTTCAAGCAGCACTGGCGGAAGTGCGTCGTCCACCTTCTCCAGCGGCACCGGCGTCTCGCTGTCTACTTGGACGCCTCCCGTTCCAACGTCTTCGTCAACTGCAAACTCTACAACGCCAGGGCCCTCTACAGTCGTCTACACTAGTGTCGTGGTTATCACATCGGTTATTGTCCCCTCGACATCGTGAGTCATGATCGATCCTGGTGATATTTGCTCGTTCAACTAATCCATTGCTCAGTGAAACTGTCTCTGGAGATACGTCGACCGAAGCTACAGCGAGCAGCTGGGGCAGCAGCTCTTCTTCCATAAGCATCCCTCTTTCGACTGGACCTCAGTCTTCCGGAACAGGGTACTACCCAACTTTGCCGCCACATGAGTCTTCCGCACCTTATGGCAACAGTACAGGTACAGCTTCATCTACTTGGGGTACGGGTACCGCGCCAGGATCTTCAATGCCATCTTTGACCTCCACTGCCAGTAGCAACTCCACTGGACCCAGAAGCTCATACATTCCACGCCCGTCGACAACTACAGAAAGCCCGAGCACCAATGTAACTGTCATTACGTCCGTCATCACCTCCACCATTGCCATCACCACATCCGTTCCATACCCTTCCAATGGTACGATCACGGAGACGAACACTGGGCCCACGGCAACATCCAGTGGAAACGGAACTATTTCTCAGACTCCGTCGTCGTCTGGCTACTACGGTCCACCTGGTAACGCCACCAGCAGCGGTAGTCCCTCTGAAACCGATACTGTGTCTTCATCGTCGATCGACATCTCCACAATCTCCTGGATCACCTATACTTCCGAAGTTTCTTATAGCCAGTCGGAGACTCCGACGCCAACCACTGATTATTACACGTCATCTTCAACCTCGACTTCAACGTGGTCTAGGAAATCCAGAGTTTCCCGGAGTCGTTCTTCCACACGTACCTGGTCTAGAACACTCACCATGTCCAGATCTTCGACCACGGACGGCTCCTCATATACACCCACTAGTTCAGAAGAGTCGTCGTCAGCTACTGAAACTGAAACCTCTTCAGATTCTTCTTCGTTGGCCTCATACACACCTTCGTACACGGCATCTTCTACATACGATACCAGCAGTGTGCCTAGTGCTTCAGAGACTGATTCTGCAACATCCTCGTTGCCGTACTCGTTCAGCATCTCTTTCAGCTCGATTGAGACGACTTCAGACTCTTCCACACCCACGTCGTCTGCAGTCATAACTTTGCCTACACCCTCGCCAACCACGGAGAGCTATTCGTACTGGTCCTCCTCATTCAGCGAATCATCTACGGACTCTGAACTTGTTTCGTACACTGAGTCGGTAACTTCAGGCACTAGCAGCTTCGTCTTGCCTTCCGAGACGCCATCGGAGTCGTTGACCAGTGATTCTGGTACTATCGAGACGCCCGTCCCGACAGTAACACCCTCTGACACATCCTCTTCCGACTCTCCTATCACGTCTGTCAGCTCGACCAGCTCTGAGACCCCCGAAGTACCTAGCTCATCCATGTACAGCGAAACAGAGTACACCACCTTCCCCTCTTCCTCCACCGCCTCAGCATCTTCCAGTAGCGAGTCCAGCTCTGAGGTCGAGACTTCCTCTATCCTTACAGCCTCTGAGAGCTCTCTAAGCTCAACCTATACCGACGCCACCGCTACTTCCTTCCCGGTCGAGTCCTCGACCGCTTACCCCAGCAGCTCCACGTCGGGTTATTCCTACTGGACCCCTCCGGTCAGCTCGGTAACCAACACGGATGCTACCGCCTCCTCCTGGCCTGTAGATTCTAGCACCTACCTCACCAGCGCGACGAGCAGCCTCACACTCACGACCTTTGAGACGAGTGCCAGCTCCACCAAGAGTGGGTACGCGATGCCACCTGAGGTGACATACGAGGCGCAGAATGACAAAGTGAAGCGAGGCATGGTGAGTTTTCCATTGCTGCCTGATGTCCAAAAGGATGAGTACTAACTGTTGGTAGATGGGCATGTGGTTCATGTAATCTATACTGCACGACACTCACGCGGTTGGGCGATGTAAGCCCGTTGTGAGGCCGATTGGTGAAGCTACGACATGTCATTGCGTCTTTACCAAACAAACCACATTCACATTCTCTACTGTCCTTTACTGGTGTAGACATACCTTTTCCTTGTTGTTAATTCTCTTCACTTCTCTCCCTCACCACCTTCCCGCTGTGTCAATGATGTCTGGGCTGGGTATTTAATCATCATGGCTGCAAGATCTTGGGTCATAGTTCAATACAACATGTTTTTCTTTAGACGTATCTCGCCGCCAATTGACTTAATGACTATCCGACATCGGCGATCATGACGTGTTGTGATACAAATCGAATGAGCCTCCAGAATACTGCACAATGACTTCGATATCTCCCGTGCCTCCAAGAGCTCAACGGGCGAGCTTTGCCTCCGATGCGCCATGTTATAGCCTCGTACCGAAGATGAGCACCCAGTGTTGTGTCAAGTCTTGCTAGGAGTTCTATCTGAACATGCGCTGAGGTCGTCAAGGCGGTGGTACATGGGCGGTGGCATATTGTGTGTAGACCAGAGTCGTTATCGAAAAGCAATCGAGCCGAAAGATGAGGAAGGCAGCGGAGTAGTGAAGCGCAGTACAGGTATCGAGATCGACGTTGGCGAAGACAGTCCTTCATCCAGCAGCGTCAGCAACGTAATCTCAACTGAACAAACATATCGTATCACCATCCATGAGAGCCATGATGTCGTCATTGAAACATTATTTCATTCATTCTGCCGTGACGATTAGGCGTCTTCTTACTCGGTGCAGCTATAGCAACGAAGCATGCCTCCTCGATGTCATTATGTGTCGTCCCTGATATCCGTCGACGTCTTTACATCTTGCTCTTAGCCTCGCCCTTGAGCTCTTGGGTCTTGCCCTTGGCCTCGCCCTTAAGCTCTTGAGCCTTGCCCTTAGCCTCGCCGGCCATCTCCTTTGCCTGGCCCTTGGCCTCGCCGGTGGTGTCGGGGGTGGCTTCCTTAACGGCGCCAGCGACTTCCTCTGTTCAAAGGGTGTTAGCGTTTGTTGCTTCATAGTGCTAGTGTAGCTGGTGTGCGCACTGTACGATGTCGTCATATTCTCGGCTGTTGAGAACAGAGAACATCAGGCAGTGTAACGCAGGTAGGATGTGTAGGGGATGGAGTGTGTACGTACCTCCCTTCTCAATGCCCTTTACAGCGGCACCGGAGATTGTCCTGTCGACAGCCTTGGCGGCATCCTTGATAGCTTCTACGGGGCTCTTGCGCGCGACGGGTGTGGTGCTGAAGAGGCGGGCCTGGCGGGCGATCTGTTGACGGAACATGTTGATGGTATGTGTGTGGTGTTGGAGTTTCGAGGTGGAGTTGTTGGTAGAGGTGAGAGAGGTGGCAATTGAGTTGTTCGATGGTTTGTTAGATGAGGTTCCTTTGAGTGTGTGCGGAAGACAGCTTTAAAGGATGTGTGGACGTGGACTGAGCTGCTGTGCTATGACGTAGTTATGATCAGCCAATCGCGGATGTGGGTCCGCGTGTTGCCATGCATGCGCGAGGAACGTCGCGTTTACGGAATTCGCATGCCGGGGCATCACAAATTTTTACATATGCGTTATGCTATTGTGCGCGATGTTGATTCATTACGATTACTTTTGCCGTACTAATTGGTATTATACTGCATGAGCTCAGGCTTAGTACAGCGCCTTCTGCCACCATGCACACCTAGCGTTCGCGTTGCTGTCGCGTACATCCTCGATGCCCGTAACGTTAAGCTCCAATACGGTCGCATCCGGACCGTACATGTTGAACTGCTTCACGCCTGTAGCATCTGGCACACCATTCTCAGCGAAGCTGGTGATGAACTCCTGCAGAGCGATGGCAATGGTGGTGTTGGCAACTCCTTGGAGCCCGGTGGAACCTGCACCGCCCTCAAAGTACGTGTACGGGATATCCTGACCATGAATAGCCGGGGGAACTGCGAAGAGATAGGAGTATGTCTTGTTTCCGTAAGCCCTGGAGAGGTAGTTGGTGTTGCACGTGAAGACTCCCTCGCTGACAATGAGGCTACCGCGCTCGAAGTTGTTGGTGTATGGTAGAGACCCGTCGAACACCGGGGGGTAGAGAGTCTTAGTAACATAATCGAGGGAAGACTTTGGAGCGTTGGCGAATGCGGACGAGATTTGGTCTTCCAATGCAGCCTCGTTTGGAATGAAGAAGGGCGTGAAGAGGGCTCCTTCATTCGCATTGTGGCCGACCATTACGCGCACGTCCTTGTCAAATCGACCTTGTGCCAAAAGCTGAGCTGGCTGAAGAGGAGCGAAAAGACCATCCACGACCGGCCCGTAAGTGAATGTACCGTATGGGGAATCATAGGTGATCTGCTGAGCATTCGCAAGCATTACCTCTTCAGATGAAAGAGCCCGCAATTCTGCGAGGGAAGTGGTGTTGGTAAGAGTGAGGAGCCTCTGGTAGACATCTTCCTGAGTGACAACAGAAGTTGTAGGTTGCCATCCAGGGCTCTGGGGTACGGCTTGCTGGAAAGGAGCAGATCCATTAGCACCACCGTATGCAGTAATCTGATGCATGATCGAGCCACCTCCAGCGCTCTCACCAAATACAGTGACCTGTAGACACAAATCAGCACAAATCATAGATGCATGGACCAGTTCTGACTTACTCGGTTCTTATCACCTCCAAAGAGATGAATATTCTCCTGGACCCACTCAAGCGCAAATCGCTGATCGTACAAACCTAGGTTGGATACACCTCCTTCTGCTTGGTATGAAGGGCCACCCGTCCAGCCCAAAGCACCAAGGCGATAATTCATCGCAACGTAGATAACATCGCCATTGGACGAGTTGCCGGAGGCCGCGAGCAGACCCGCAGGGTTGTTGTTTTTCTCGCCTCCTGTGTAGCCACCTCCGTAGATCCATACGAGAACAGGAGCTCCGTAGCCTTGCCCAGCTTTGCTAAGCACATCCTCGGGAACAAAAACATCCAAAAATAAGCAATCTTCAGACTCGCGGGGATCCGGTTGTGGGACCGGACTGGTAGCATTTGCTGGCATCACTGAATAAGTTGTGTTCGAAGCAGGAAGACCGAGCGCATATCTGGCCAACGACTGTGCTGCGGCTGCAGACCAAGCGGGATTTGCCTGAGGGCATATTCTGTACATGTTAGTATGATTGTATGAACTTCGGTTTCCTGTGGTGCTTACCTCGAAGTCTCGCCGGTGTTGATAGATGACCTGTTTTCTGCTGGAGCCTGAGGTGGTGCAAACCTCAAGTCACCGACAGGCGGTGCAGCATACCGTATGTTGGAAAAGTTGTAGAAGTTGCCGGTGTCCTAATTGGGTCAATCAACAAAGTGACATCGAGGATTTGATGATGGTATACGAACATTGAACCCTGAAGCCTGGTAAATCTCGTAGCCCAGGTCGACTGTAGGTAATGAGGAGTTCTGTGCATATGCAGCACCTATTAAGGCTGCTGCTGCTGCAGCAAGTTGCAACATATCGGCGGACGGGATGAAAGTATGAATAGAGAAGTAACGACGAGGGCTACCCAGGTGTATATTCCAATTGCTCGGGACTCACGACGGTAGAGGAGATACAGCCGCGTACAAACGTGCAAGGAACGCCCATCCATCGGGCACGGGTAGAGCATCCATATATACTCCTGTCATTTGCCCTAGTCCAGCCCGGCCAGCATCTCGTAATGCTGTCGCGATCACGCATAAGCCGCAGACACGTCCCGCCTCAGCCTAACGCAAACGTCTCCACGTACACCGCGTAGTAATCGTCAACGGAGTCAAGCTCGCCTGCCGTGCCGGTGGCTTCGCCAGGCAATACACAAGTGCGTCATCGCGGTGGAACATTCGGCGACTAGCGGTGTCACTGATTCGCTCGCTGAGGCCTGGCGCGAGATACGGTCGATACGTGGCTAGCTGTGGCACAGCTGCTGGGACTCATCCACATGCCTGAGGCGCTGGGAATCTCGCGGATTTTGTATGCACACAGTTGTAGACATTTTTTACGTCTGACAGGTAGAATTAAACTTTTTGAAACGTCGTTCGGTGTCCCGGTGAGATGGGAGCGGGAATGTCATCTCGGCTGTAACTGGGAAGCCGGTCCGACGAGGATATTCCCCGCAAAAAGGAAGCAATGCTGGCAGGGTATCTTGCCGAGGCATCTCGACTGGCTATGCGATGCCTTCGGATGGCCTGGTAAGGCTGATGTGAAAGAATGCGCGCAGTCCGCGGGGTACGTACCATAATGGCGTACGGACGAAATTCTAGCCGTCGTAGGTTCTCTAACCGCAACAGAGATCCATCAAGTATCCACCGTATCGCTTCGTCGCTAGGGGTACCATTGTTTTGTTCACGATTCAACGTGATCGCATGCATAGGTAGTCGCGATCCGTACGTGTACCCTACATGTAGGGGTTCACCCTTCCTCGAGTCCACCTAGCGACACGGGATACCCATGCAGCCATGGGTGCATACATACTGGTGTAGCTGAGCTGTTGTTTGACATAGCATGCCAATAAGCGTAGCATCGAGACGACAACAGTTTTCGTCACGGCCATTCGTAGATACTAGTGCATAAAATTAGGAAGGTGAGCTGAGATGACGCCCAGCGCTCGCGATGTGAGCAGGTGGTGGTCAGTGCACCGGCGGCCCCAGGGCTCTGGTGCTGGCTTGCGCTCAGCTAGCACCCAGGCTATCTTCAGTTCCTTATTACTCACACGACAGCCTACCTAGGTATATAGCCTTTGGCCTTGAGCTGCTGATGATGTCTCAAAAGTGGACGGTGTCGCTGATGAGGTCCTGATCGACTGACGTCCGTTTCATGCAACGACCACGCGGTCGAAGAGCCCAGAATTGTATTTTAGATGCTGCTACGCTGTCAGATTCTGGGTAGCCAAGCCTTTCGAATGTACCTGAAGATTTCAATTGGAAAAGCTAACCGAATGACTGAGATTATGTTGTCGTTCATGCTGTTGTCGTGAAGATGCTTTCCAGTTCCTGCTCAAAGTATGTCAACGATTAGTCATTCTTTCACTCTCGGACTGCTCTTACGAGCCCATAGAGTGTGTATCGCCATGTTATACATGGCAAACAATGAACCATATTGCAATCTCGACACCTGAGAAGATTTCCGACCCGCATTGGCCGCCTATAAAACATTCGATCCAACCACCACGGCGAGCTTTCATGCGACATTTCTAACATCACCCTCTACCAGCCACCTTCAGTCGCTCCCCGAGCTACTTCACCATCCATCGTGGCTACTCGAACAGATAATTGGTGACGTAATCGTATGCGGAGAACCACTCACAGGCTGGGGGCGTAATCTGGTTCACAGTGCGAGTAAACATCCAAAAGAACTCGATGCAACAACATGGAAGACGCGTTGTCAACGGAGTGGGAGCGGGATTATGTGTGGGCGGCGTTGCGGTATTCGCTCAATCTCGGGATAGTACCGTATAAGCCGCGCAAAGGAATGCTACTCCTCTCTTATCCTCACTCTAGTAAGTAAGTATCTTAGTGAAAGTGAAAGAAAGGTTCTCGCCATATTTGGGTTTTCCACGTAACTCGCGACGCGCGTGATGGATCAAACACCCGGATGCACCTGCCTTTTCCTGAACCTTCCGCGCTCCGACGTACACGCAAACCTCTGCTGCAATCAGCTCTTATCAGATCAGCTCTCCCTACCCCATGGGCTAACGACGTTCTTGATTACTCACAGTCAGCTACACATTCAACACAACATGAACTCCGAACCTCACCCTTATCGAGACATGAAAGTGAGTAAGTTTCTAAGGCTTCAGGAACCATCAAATAACAGAAACGAGCGTCGTATGAGTAGGCGCGACATCCCTGAAATGCCCAGGGGCTATAATGCCCAATACACCTTCGACTTCAACGATATCAAAAAGCGCATTCTCTCCAACGCACGTGCATATTACGCGCATCGCTTCCCTGAAGCGCAACGCTACGACTTCATCACCTCATCCATCCCGCCGACCGACAGCCGAGATAGCAAAGAGTACAGGGGCGGGCTGATTGTATATCCTGATCCGAAGTCAAACGACTGGGTGATGCTGTATAAGAGCCACTCCTGGCCTGCCGTAGAAGATACGGCGTTTGAGATCAAGTCCTGGCTTGAAGAGAAAATGAGGGCTGTGTTTGACAAGGTGGACGAAGGCGAGAAGTGGGCCGGAACAAAGAAGAAGTCTAAGGACGAACTGTCAGGCAATGAGAGAAAGTCTAATGCGGGCGAGGACCACATGGAGGATGTGGAAACTGCGGAGGACAGCTCTGAACCGACAGATACTGCTGCTGGCGATATCGGTGACGGTACTGGCACCGGCGACAAAGGCGAAGATAAGGAGGTTCCGAAACAGCCAGAAGACTCCACTGCTGGCGACCAAGCAGAGGCTGCAAGCGACACCACCATGCCAATTCGGAAACGTAAGTCAGCCGCGGATGAAGAGAAGGACCGAAAGAAAAGCATGAAGAACGACGAGGAGCAGCGTGTCTTTGTTGGCGAGAAAGATGACCCGCCTACCAAAGAAGAGAAGAAGGGCCCTGTAGAACCCGTCGTGATTCCGACCGAGTTGAAGCTTCCGCCGACCACTGAGAAGTAGTCTCAGTCTCTTCGTCACCCTTGGGTGACGCGCAGAGTGGATGAACCAGTGGTTGTTTGACGGGCGATATAGCGCTGGCTTATTACGCAGTTTGCAAAAGTGCCTGTGTCCAAATAGAATGATGACCATCCTCCAGTCTTGCATAGCCACTATGTTCATCTCTTTATAGCTTCGCCTTCAAGACCTTACCACCTTTCCCACTCCCACCCTGCTCACTAAACCGATAGACGATATCCTCAAACCCATCCGCGGCAAATACATACAGCCACACCAAGTCCTCTTTTCCGGTATTGAAGATACCATGCTCCGCATCCCCCGGTATGAATACCACCGACCCCTTCTCAACCTCATACTCCTGCCCCTCAATACAAACCATCCCAGTACCAGACACAACGTGATATATCTCTGCGTGCGTATGGCGATGCAACTTCAGAAACCCCACATCGCCCAAAGACTCCGGATTCTGCAGAGATGGACTTGGGATCCCAGAATCGCTCGTAGAAGAAGACGCGGGGCAAGCCACAACCCTTCCAGGCGGACATGTCGCAACGCCCACCGTGAACGTATCCGTCTCAGTCTTCTCATTCGAAACCAGCGTTTTCCACGTCACATTGCCTCCTGTGCTGGGATCGGGGAAGCCTTCGGGTGCCATTTTGGCTATTTGTGCGGCATGCAAGACTAAGGGTTTGACAGGTCGGTTCGAGGTTGTGGAACGCATGGTGATTTATGCTGTGTGACTGTTGATGAAGTGCGACTGTTGCTTTGGCAGGGGAGGTGCTATGCGGGGAGAGCGGTAGACTGCACGTGCGGCGCGGATGCATGCAAGGTACGTTTGGACGATGGGAGTCGGAGATGGGCGTACGACATGGCGGATGTGCGGGTTGGAGGGGGTTTACATATGCATATGCATGTACTGCCGCCTCGTTACCTTTCAAGTCTTGCATCATCGGAGGAAGGCATTTCTTGCTGCTACGTCTTCTTGACATAGGTCATGTGGGGTTAGAGGGGTAGCTTGGGAGCCACACTCGGGATTGAAGTTCTAAGTCTTGCCTAGTTCGCGTCGTCAAGGGCGTATGAGAAGTTCGATCGTTTCGTGCCCGCTTCGGGCTGTCGTGATAGTTTGGCGACGGCCCGGCGGCTGCTGTTGTGCTACCGCATTTTCTGCTGTCAGGCCACATGGCATCTGTCGTAGCGACTGCCGTTGAGCCTGACTCTCCTTAGACGCATGCAGAGCATTTCGGGATATGCTGGGGGTTGATAGAATTTATTGAAAGAACATAGGGTTGCGGTTTGTCGTCATGAATACCCATGAATACCTACCTAGAAAAGTATTGATCAACGCAAACAAGGGACGCAGAAAGTCACCGCCGAAGCAAAATTAGAGTCTGGATCAGGTCGTTTGCGTCGGTATTACCCGAGCTGGCATATCTGTATATTGTTATACTGCTGTCGAGGGTAGGTCACATCGTTGATGATGTGGTAGGCATGAGAGTGACATCCTAACGTACCCAGGTACTATCGTATTCCGCCTACCACATCTCCAGGTCAGATCGCTGACACCAAGGTATACCCATTGTATAGACTCCTAACTTTTATGAGGATGGTCATGGTTATCGTGAGATAAGAGGCCGCCGTGGTCTCGCTGCTTACGGCCGTTATTACGATTTGCCTACATCGGCTGCCATGTAGGGTTCAGGCAGAGACGCAGCTAGTCGTTGATGCCCGAGGCAGCCAAAGTCATCCGACTATGCGACATGGTTCGCATAGCTGTCAGTGTGTCAACTCGTCGATGTCGCAGGGTTCGCCTGGTGTTTTGATGGGCGCTGTGCACGGTTGCTGTCCACGTTGATGCGGTCCACGGGTCTGTCGCGAATGCACACTGACGGCATGGCGCAGACTATATCGTAGACTACTTATTCATAGCGGCAACACAAGCGCTACGACATTGAATATCGCGCAGTGGTTGCACGATCGAATCTTGAGTATACACCCACAAACCATGATCGTGGTTGCGAGTCAAGCAGCTGTCATCATGGCTAGCCTGCGAGTCGCCCTTCCAGAATCAGCCCTTTCTGACTGGCTTCTTTATCAGCGGTCCGGCAAATCCGCCGCGTTTCAGAGTTTATCCCTCGTGGCCATGTGGCTTGGACCGGGCCTCGTACCATGCCTGTCGTGTTTACCGATGCCCGAACGCTGGAAAGCTAAGGCCAATCTGTTCTGCATCTCATCATGCGCATGGCCGTCCAGTTTCGCTCCTGACAACTCCACCTCCCTACCCAACGTCTCTCGCCTACACTTTTTGTGCTACCAAAGGATGCTGCAGTCTTTATTGCGATAATGAGGTTTCAGACGTTGACGTAACGCAACGAAAACGCGCGCTGAGCGCTGCCGCTTCCACGAGGCTGTGTTTAGCCTGGATTGGCCGATCGCGATATGGCCATGGAGAAGTTTCAGAGAGGCCACCCAGCGCCCGAGCGGGTGAGGAACCGATCGGGATCTGGGACTGTGACGGGGGACAAGGCGATCGCGAAGAAGAGATCGAGTTTGGGCAGGGCGGCAGGTGGCTTTCAGAGTAGATTTCTTGCGTCGCTACGGAGTAAGAGGAAGAGTGGTGCAGACGAGGAGCTAGAGCCGAGCCCCTCGAGGTACGTACCGTGTCCACTTCACACACTGGGGAACACCACTGATCATCGCAACACAGCCCGTTTCTGGATGCATTGTTTCGGTTGCCAGATGAACTCCACATTTACATGCTGCGCGAGCTGTGCGTCTCGGATCTGCTTGCTTTGAGGAGAACGTCCCGCGTGCTCAACATGCTTGTGACAGAGAACGCACCTGCGATTGTGCGCTACTGGGTGAAGAACCGGCTCGGCAATCTTCATCTACAACTTTATCCGGCTCCAAGACCGGACGCGATCGACTTCCCGTTCTTACTCACTATGAGACGGCGACACATAGCGTCCATCAGGTTGACACGTCAGCTTGCCAATCACCTCGTAGGGGAGCCAACCGAACAGAGGCAGCTGTGGACATCGGTGTACGAGAGGATGCTGCCCCTGGTCTTTGGGGTAGGCTACTTTCTAGATGAACATCGACGACTACTTCTGGAAAGAGATCTCGGCCACATTCGACCACGCTCCCGTATTGGCTATCACGTCCGTACGACGGGTGGTATCAGTAGCCAAGAAAGGAAGATCTTGAAGAACCTGGATGCACCACTTCGACTTCAGTACTTCTACATGTACTGTTTCATTGTGCAGGTGCTGCTTCGAAAGCTGAGACCTTGCAGTCGTGCTGGAGCAGTGGAAAAGTTCCTGCGGGGATTTTCAAACCAGCCAGCCTGTTCAGAGGATGTGGCCTTCTTCCTCATACTTGGTGGCATTGGGCAAGTTGCGAAGCTGCTCGCTTGCCCGGTATATAGCGAGCGGCGAAGATATCTCCTAACGTACAGAGCTCACATGTCGCCGCACACGAGTAAATGCTGGAGAAAGCACTGGAAGGATGCTGGTGTGGTTTCACCTGCGTTACTAGACGATATTCCTTGTACACAGATTGGCATAACACAGCTTGATCAGGTCTGGGCTCCACTGATAGCCCAGATGATGGAGACGGGGGCGAGAGACTTTACAGAACAGGAAAGGATACGCTACGAGGAGCTGAAGATGTCGAAGAAGTTCATCAACGAAGTAATGGGGTATGACATCCTGCGAGGTCGGGCAGCTGACGGAGGAGAGTTGGATGATGAGCACGAGCCATGATAGCGAGTTAGCATGTACAGTACCAAGAGAAGACATTGTAGCGGCCAAACTCTGCACCTTCCTCTGTAAGAATTGACATATGTCGGTTGCCGTGCAATTTCCGCTTTGCAGCGGTTGTTGAGGCTTGTACCTGCTGGCTTGGCTTAGTTTCTGCTTCACGATGCCACCAACGGCGACGAGCCCGCAAATATTACGTACTGGTCCGGTCGCGTAGCGCGCTATGATTTCTAGCTGATCATGAAGGCCGACGGCAACTACGGACCCTGCAGCTGTCACCTAGCCGAGCGAGCAGGTGTTGCATGCGGCCAGTTTCTGTATGCTCTAGCTAAAAGCTTGACATGGCGGTATATTGTGCTTGACCATAACAGGAGGGTGTTAAGCATACCCACTCTGCTCTGGACTCTGTACAGCTCAGCACTCGGTCGAAGTGCATTCTGCCATATAGGATGCCTATTTGGGTCGGCAGAGCGCCGTCATCGGCAGACGTGTATATTGCAGTCCCCGGATTTTTTCCATTGCAATTTTCCAGCGTCCGGGTAAGTGGCGGTTAAGAGGGCCAGAATCAGACGACAGAGGCTCGAGACCCTGTAGTGGTTGGCGCAAAGGCCGAGCAGGCAGGTCGTCGTTGGAGAGGCCCACTTGGCAGCTTCCATGGCTTCCATAGGCGCCCGTGCGTGTCTTCTGGAAAGCGACGAGCGCTCGTCTGGTCTGGCGTCGGCCGATTGAGAGGCGAGGCCAGGGCCAATGGGGTACTCGACGGACTTTGCCGCCCGCGTCAATAGAGAGGCGGACAATTATTCTGCAAGTATCGCTCCACCTCATCCCACCATTGACGGGGCCAGGAGGGCGCAGAGTCTGAGGCGGGCATGACAGAGGTACCGTACGTGTTTCAGGCGACGTGTGATTGGCGGGCGTCCATGGGCGCGCTGCGTCCGTGGCAGATTGGGAATGACGTGCAACGGGCAGCGACAAAAGCAACGCGACGCGCACAAGGTGAACGTTGGGGGCGCTGATCGGTAGTGGAAGAGGCAGTCGCATCCCCTCTGGATCGGGAAGTGGCGCATGGTTCAGCGTGCAGGCGCGACCGGAGGGCGATGCACGGGGCGCGGGCTGCGTCATTGGTGGCCGATGCAACTCGAGCGACGCTCTGCATGCATGGGCCGTCCGCTCGTGTGCCTGTAACACGGCGGCATCCTTCCATCACACACGGCGCACTCGTCCAGGCACGCCCGCTGGAAGCAGTGCTGGGTGCGCGCTGCCGTCGGCTGCCCCCAGGCCGTGTCACACAGGCGTGCAGGCCGTCTAACTGTCAAGTGTGTGCTGTAACGAGCCTGTGGCTGGGCGGCCAATGGCGCGCTGCTGATACTGACCGCAACAACAGGCCGCATTCACCCCGGCCGCAGTAGCGTCGGCTCTTGCAAAGATGCTCCGCTGCCCCCGTAATTGCTCCCAGGAATCCTCGCCATGATGTGAGCTAAATCCGCCAGGTCCTCGGCGCCGTGCGTGTCTCCAGGGCCTAAGTATGCCCCTTCGATGCCGTGCAGAGTGCCAGTCGAGTCCTAGCGCTGTGCTGTAAGCCCGTTCCATATAATCCTACGAGCCCGGCCCAACGTTTGCGACCAACACCACGATCCCCATCCGAGTGCCACTCCACCCGCGCCATCTTCACACGCGACCTCGCCACCCTTTGTCTTCTGAAACCTGTGCACCGGTGCCTGGCGATAGCTGTCTCCTGCCACTCACAGCCCATCCACCACCACACCAGAGCAGCCCGGTCCCGACGAGCGCGGCAACTACTCCCCTCTGGGCTATCGATTGTCAGCTGAGCCACAACCCCGACCCACCACCACCCAGAGCGACCACCATGAGACGGTAGAGATAAGACAGAGAGCAGGAACCATGGACTTTACGGTAAGTTCCCGCGCGCTTACACTCGTCGGCCATGTCACGAGCCCGGCTAACGCGACCTCAGATCTCACTCGCACACTTCTGCGAGACCCACGGTCCGACATCCATCATCTGCACCCAGGCCTCGACCTCGCCCTGCGGCTCCTGCAACCCATGTGTGACGCCGCCCTCCGAAGAGCCGCACTCGGCCTACTCCTACAACGGCCTGTACGATCAGCCCACCACCCTCAAGCTTAACGCGCGCCTGCCACAGCTCACCTCGCCCTTCGAGTCGCCGCCCAACAGCCCGCGCTCCCCCACGCACAACCCATACTTTCCGAGCTTTCCCTCCTCTTCCGGCAGTAGTTTTGGCGGACGGAGAACCAGCAGCACCATCGACTCCGACTCGGACGCCTGCGAGAACTGCCAGATGGTAGTGCCCCAGAAGTACAGCGACAAGATCCCCAACGGCGCTCCTGGTAGTCCCACGAAAGACGGGCGAGGAAGAAACGGCAGCCCGGTACTGCGTAGCTCCCAGAACTACCCCGTGCGACGACCAGTGTCCCGGGACGACCTCAGTAGCACGGATTCGTCCGATGTCTCAGACACAGAGCAGTCGACTTCCTACCAGAGCGGCGCCTCGGGCTCGTTCCCAGACTCAATACCTCCCTCACCAATGCTCGTGTCGAGAGGCATACACACCCACACATTGAACTACATCTCCACCAGCCAGCCGCAGTCGCCCAGCACCTATTCGCTCTTGCGACGCACCTGCATCCGCACATTGTCCACCGAGGTCCTTCCCCTCAGCAAGCCGTCCGGGCCCATCATGTTCGGAGACTCAGTCGCTGGCTACACCATCGCGTACGTGTTTCGTCTGCAGGATCCGCGGTCGCGAGGAGCTAAGCGCACCTACGCCTTCATCGCCATGGCCGGTCGCGATTACCGGAGAGCCACAAAAGCCATGGTGAAGATCATCGAAGCCTTTGAGGGCATCGCCAACCGGATCATTTCCCTGGCTGATAGAGTCCTTGAGCGTGAGAGTGCAGCTTCGCAGGTCCTGTCACGTCCCACCACCGCCATATCTGGAAACACACCTCCTCTTGGAACCTCCGCCTCTTCAATGCCACCCAACTTCTCTGCACCGCACAAAGAACGGACCTTCTCCACGACGAGCACCCCCAACTTCCGCAACATCACACCTGTGTCCTCTTTCCTGTCCGCAAAGAAGGTCGACCCAGATGGCTTTCCCCGTGTGTCCCGCGATGTGATGAAGGCAAAGAGCCTCGTCGAGATCGTCGGTCAAGAGAACTTCTTTGTCGACCTCCACGGACTCTTCTGCCATCTTCTGCACTCTCTCATCAAGCAGTTCGGTTGATGCGTCCCTTCCACGTCGCTTTGCTTCGTTCATACGTCTTTTCCTTCCTTGTATGTCTTTTCTGTTGTCTTTTGTCGTGCGTTACAGCGTCTTCGTCCATTATACAGTGCGTTTAAGCACAGGCGTTGGGCAGGTGTGATTCCTTTACAAGACCTTCGAGTCGTCAGAGCTCAAGTAGCTTTATACCCTTTTGAGATACCCCAGGCTTCTCTTTCTGTCGTTGGGATCGAGTAGTACACATTAGACGTGGACTCATCTTTACAATGGCGTTTCGGGGTGAGTAATCGGGGACGAGAGGAGGTGTTTACGATGGTACGGTCGTTGCTAGGATATGACCATGATGTTGATGGCGTGATGGCCGCGATGGATTAGGTGATGGTAGTCTAGCCTGTTTGTAGAACGAAACTGCACAATACCGTTTACCTATTGTCCTTGGCGTGTTCTGTTGTTTGCTAGTGTGGTACCGCTTCAAGTCAAAGAGGGAGTATGTGAATATACGTGACACCATCACGGTGCTATCAAGTAAAGGTCAAAGGTAAAGGTGAGTTCCAAGCACGCGAACTGAACGCCTGACGTTTGGAGAGAGTCACACCTAGGTACCAGCTCATCACAAGAGATGCCCTCAAGGCAGACGCGTCCCAAAGCAGACGAGGCAGACGAGCAAACGTGGTGTGCGCTTTTCTGGTTAGCGCAGGCACGCATGAGGCTGAACATGTGGAAGCCGCGAGCGACAACATTGAATGCTCTCTACCATATCCACCCAGTCGCAATGACTATACCTATGTGGTGTGCTCTTATGGCAGATGCAAAATTTCATCACTCTCATACGAGCATCGCGGCTTACTTGCCACGAAAAGAATTCCACGATAAATCGCTTATGCCTGCTCGCTCCACCACCGTCTCCGCATTATGCACGACACGCAAAACTGGTCCACATTTCACGTTCCGCTTTCCGGTCCCAAGCTTGGAAAAAGATTATCCAGAAGCATCGAGATTCGCAGATCAAACTACCTAGTGATGCGTCATACCGGGTAAAATCCCCTTGGAAGTCAACGATGTGTGATGTCATAGGTGTGGTGGATCGTCAAACAGCGCTTGAACAACGCGCTTCCACGGCCAGTGAATAAATGGTAGGAGAAGCAACGGCTCCGCATCGTTTGATGGGACGCATTAACTTTCTTGATCAATTAAGGCTTTTATTTCCGCAGCCCACGCGGCAGCAGGGCCAAAGCCAAGTTTAAGTGCCCGAAAGCCAAGTTTTTGGAAGTTTGGCAACCCGTTTGGGATGCAGCATCGTTTGATAATGCTCGTTCAAGATGCTCAGTTGCTGATAGGGCAGATATGCAGATATGGTGTGACTTGTGGTTCTCCATGACGACTCCCATAATCATGCCCCGCGGCTTCCTTTGTGAATCCTGAGAACCTACTTAAGGCTTGCCTACCTTCCAAGGTCGTGGCGTCGTCACCTTTACAAGCCTCAATACGCTACAGTATTCACTACAGTTCTTAATTCACTAAGTCTACGCCACGATCCGTACCAGCCGCAGTTGTGAGACTACCAATTTGGATCGCACCAGTCTCCCGCTTACACTCGTCATCTAGACATCTAGCCTTCCCGCACCTCACAAGCTTAAGACAAGATGAACTCCATCCCAGGAAATGCCTCCCAAGGACCCACCAGCCAGGACACATCGACGACGGGTGTTCAGCAGAACCAAGCGCAGCGCGAAGACTA